AAACAACTAACCCACGTGAAACGAAATTAGATCTGTGCAAGTGAAAACTTTGAAAAACAATTATTGAAATCTTAGTTTTAATTATTATCCAACTCATTTACTGCAGTGTTTTAGTTACTTAAGTAATTAAGCATTTTAAACAGTTAATCGCTTTCTAACATATTATTTTAGTGCAACTCACAAAATGTTTAATATTCAATGACATTTTCATTCAAAAAGAAGAAGAGAAATTAACAAATTTAAAAAAAAAAAAGTTCAAACTTTAGAATTTTTTTTAAAGTTTAAAAAAGCCCGTGCAAGACCATATAGACGGGCGGCCCTCATAGCCCGCCAAGTCTATTTAAGACGGGCTTTTCATAGCCCGTACGGTTTTTATTCCTGCCGAAGCCTATATATATATATATATATATATATATATATATATATATATATATATATATACACATATATATATATATATATATATATATATATATATATATATATATATATATATATATATATATATATATATATATATATATATATATATAAACATACATTTATTTACTTATGAAAATAACAATTTATGCAATGAAATAATAGTTTTTACTTTTTGACGAATTTTATCCTTAATGTTCCAAATGTCCTTATTTACTATGGATTTTCCTGTACTCTTTCTCATTTCATCAGCAATTACTTTAGTAGTAACACCAAGACGACTCAGTTCTTTAACTTTGGCCTTCTATTCATTTGATAGCTTTCTATTTTTGACATAGTGTTTGTAAAGATCTTGATCTGTAAAGCAAAATAATTTATTTAATCAGGTTGTATGATACTAAAAATTACTTTTTCATAATTCATTTAAATATGTAACTTTAAGGTTTTTAAAAAAAAGCTTTTCACAGCATACTTTTCTTTCACAGCAGTCTTTCATTGCACAACATTTTATTTATTCATTCTATTTAAGTGATTTTAAAAAACTTTAAATTAAAGTTTTTTGTAAATTAAACAGTACACCGTGAAAAGCTGAACTTTAATAACAGATTTACAAAACTAAATATATAAAAAATGATAAAATAACATTCATTTCAAATTTTAAATATTTTACCAATATTAGATAAATATTTTTACAAATAACATGATTGTGCGTTTCTATCATTTGTTTGATAATTATTTTTGTTCTATCTTTTGTTAAAGCAGGATAAATTTTAGCTGGACAGTTATTTTTTGCTGATCTAAAATGACAACAACTAAAAAAGTTTGTTCAAATGCTCAAATGCTCTTGAACTTTTTAATTTTATATGTTTTTGATCTAAAAGAAAAGTTAAATATTTATGAAAAGTAACTAATATAACAGTTTTTTTGTATTTTTAAAACAGATAATAATGCATATTTATAAGTGTACACAAAGTCTTGAATATGTTTTACACACACACACACACACACACACACACACACACACACACACACACACACACACACACACACACACACACACACACACACACACACGCACACACACACACACACACACATATATATATATATATATAAAAGTATATAAAGAATATATTATAGTATTATATTATAGTATATATAGAAAAATCATGGAGTTTCATTTTCAAATTTGAAAATGAAACTCCATGATTTTTCCATGACTTTTTCATTACTTTTCCACGACTTTTTATAAACATTTTTTAAAAATCACTTTTTATAAACATTTTTTAAAAATATTCAGTACTTGCCATGCAACATAACATTTGCCACTTGGTCAATTTCACTATCGGTAAACTTAACTTTAAACAACTCACTTAAACCAGTACATTTTCTTTCAGAGTTTCTTCTGCCTTTCTAAGATGTTTCTTGCTTAACTCATAACTTATTACTGCCTTAATTCCCATGTTACTTAAACTGAAACTATACTAGAATATGAGTTGATCCTATGAAACAGGTTGTACTAGATTAAATGTTACTAGTAGCAGGTGACCTGACCTGACCATATTTGATTGATTGATACAAACTCAAACAAAATTTAAAAGTGTGCTTTTATTTTTTAAAATGATATTTTAATAAATACTAAAATTTAAAAAGGTTGACATGACCTGTTTACAATAAAATAATAATCTATAGCTAACATTGCAAAATTATCTTTTTAAAAAAGACTTAGACTAGACATACTAGTACTTTTCTTTGCAAATATCCTAAAAATATCACAAGTAGAAAAAAATAAAGATAATTTTAAAAAGTTCCATAAATTTTCCATACATTTCAATGGAAATTTAGGAATTCCATGACCAAATAAAAATCAATGACATTTCCATGAATCTATGACCAGTGGCCACCCTGTTTTTAACAAGAACAGTGTAAAGTATTTGTTCATTGATAAAATATATTTACAATATAGGTATGTTATAGTTAAGATTGCAAGCATTTATGTAAGTAAAATATACCCTGAATTTCTTTTCCCTATTCCTTTGCTTGAATTGAATCCACCATGTGTGCAAATTAAATTATAGTACACGTATTTAAACATTTCAGGATAAGGTCTTTGGTCGAGCTTGATCTTAGCATTAGCTGTTACCGTTAGCTTGCAAACATGTTTAACCATGGGTTGGAATATTTTATTACAGTGTATTTTAACTGCTTGAAAAAATTCATCCCAGGATAAGAAAGTATCATGAACTTTTAGCGACATTATTTTGAACGAAAAGAAAAATTATCGCAAAATAAAAGCAAATCACTTCAAAATCGTACAAAACATCAATAAGATTTAGCGCATGCGTACAAAGTAATGCGCTCCGAGCAGCATATGGCTGGTTAGAGCGCATTGCGCTTCAAGTAGCAACGGCCGTAAACGAAATTATATTAGGCCGCTTAACTTTAGGGTCACCGAAAATTTTTTAAAAAAAACTTTATGATAATCTAATTTAAATTTTATAATTATTATTAATAAATAAAATATAATTTAGATTTTAATTAAAATAATTTTGTTCAATACAACTACTTGTGTTTTGAAAGAATTTCCTAATGTTTTTTTTTCCTAAATTTTCTAAATTTTTTTTTTCTTTATACAGAATTTTAGTTTTAAATTCTGTTTAAAGAAAAGTCTTAAGTATAAAAGTTTTAAAAAGTCTTTTAAACTTCCTTTAGGATTTTTGCTCAGTTTGCATCAAATTGTTTTCAATAAAATTATTACCCATCAAACTACAATTTGACTTTGTGTCACTTTTTTGTAGCATTAATCAATAAATTTTGGAATTTTTTAACATTTGTTCGCTTCTTTTTTCTTCAGTATTTTCTCCACTATCGCCCAATAAGATTCTCAGTATAAAATAACATTGACATCTATTTTTCTTGTATTACTCAATACTTTTTTTAAATAAAGTTGGTTGTTTATGCTTTTTAATTAGAGGGACAAGTCATTTTTTCAAGCATTCATTCATCAACAGATCCAATGAGTCCAAATAAATCCAAAAATTGTATTTGTTATAAAAGGAGAGCTTTTAAAGCCACAACAAATAGTCTACCATACTAGGATCTTGCAAGCAAATCTTGCAAATCAAATTGATTTAAATCTGTCGAATGCTATATATATATATATATATATATATATATATATATATATATATATATATATATATATATATATATATATATATACATATATATATATATATATATATATATATACATATATATATATATATATATATATATACATATATATATATATATATATATATATATATATATATATATATATATATATAATATATATATATATATATATATATATATATATATACATATATATATACATATATATATATATATATATATATATATATATATATATTTATATATATATATTTATATATATATATACATATATACATATAAAATTTTAACTGATAACAGACTATTATAGTTAATCAATACTATTAAGTAGTATTGATTAACTGGGAGCATTGAGTGATTGTTTTTATATTAAATTTTATATACACAAAAAAAACTTGTCGCAAAATTTAACTAAACATTTAGTTTATCTGATCGCCTTTATTTCTCCATCAAGTAATTTTTTGGAAATTTTTTATTTTGAAAAACATTTGAACTTAGTAGTTCAATCTTGTTGTGATTAAATGTGATTTTGATAAATTAAGTCAACTATTGATTTTGTCTTCTTTTGTCAATAACTTTTGATTTTTTGTCAATAAAACTTGATTTTTTTATTACTTTGTTTTCTATTTATAGTTTCATTCTCCTCATATCGTTTTAAAATAGTTCAAACAGTTGGTTTTGGAACTTTACATGCTTTTAAAATAATTAAATATGAGCACAAAAATATATAATGTTGAAAAATATATAAAGTTTCAAAATATTTTTTTCGATTTTCAGGTATTTCATTCAATGTTTTAAAAACTTATTAAATGTAAACAAAACAACACCAAATGCATAGAAAAACTACTTATTTATTTCTAATAATAATAATTTTTTTTAAGTGATGCATTATGTAATATAAGTAGTTTTTTATGCATTTTACATGTAATTATTTTTTACAATGCTGAGTAAGAAGTCTGAATCAAAAAAATATTTTGATGATGCATATATTATAAGCATTGATTTTGTTAAGCAAATGTTGTTGTTGTCGTTGCTGCTATTGTTGTCATTTTTGTAGTTGTTATTTCTGTTCTAGCTGTACTAATTATTGTAATTATTGCTTTTTGGATGTTGTTTTGGTAATTTTTAAAATTATTGTTGTTTAATTTTTATTGTTGTAAAAGTTATTGTTTTTAAATACAAATACTTAAACATCAGGCAGTTATGCTGTCTCTGCCCTTAAAAAGTAGATGATATAGTAAGCACAAATAAACCAAATTAGTTTTCTTTTCATCATGTCTTTTTTTGTCATTTAAATCTTTTTATGTTTTACATGAAATTTTTATTTTTACATAAAGGTAAAATTTTATGTAAAACATAAAAATTAATACTTTGATATTGAATTTAAATTTATATTACAGCCTGTGAAAAGCCTTATGGTTTAAGGGATTTAAGTCCAGAAAAAGTCATTTATAGTGCATCCAACTTGTTTCAAAGGTAAAACTTATTGTTTTAATAGTTTAATTGGTTAAGTTGCAACCTGATTAGTAATCAGTACCTGTATTAGTATTAGTTTTGTTCAATTTAAATGTGTAGTTTTTTAAATGTATTTAGCCTAACACTGAATAAAAAGCTTTTCTTTCTTACAGCTTAGAATTGAATGACACTAGAACTTGGTGCAGTAATCAGGCGCTGTTTAGCACCATAAAGGTAATATTTTAAGTTAATAGAAATAAATGTTATGAATTACACATTTTCTATTTTCTAGAATGATACAAATAGCATTGATGAATATTTATTTGTTACTTATTTAATAGAGTTTTCCTACCAACACATGTAAAGTTTATTTCTTATAATAAACAAAAAACATTAAGTTGCTTTTTGTTTATAATTCAGTTTAGTGATATTGTATTAAAAAAAAAATTGTTTCCTAATAATAAATAATATTTTTTGATGTAAAGGTAGAAGAATTGTTAAAGTATATATAGATTCTTTGTTTTTTCTTGGAGCAGCATTCAAATAGTTAACTATTTCACATAGTAAATTCATGCAAGTAGAACATATGATTTTGAAATAAAAAGTTAAAAGTTCAGGCTATTTAGAGTGAACAGGATTTGTAAAAACTCCCCAAATTAAAAAAACCTACATTATGTATTAACTACAAATAATGATAAAATGAGGAAGTTAAGTTATAACATGTTTTATAAAACATTTTATAACAAAAAAAGTTTTTATAATATAACTTTGTAATAATTTCAAAACTTTGTTGTTATCAAGTTTTTAAATGGTTCATATAACTTTTCATATTTTTTAATTTGTTTGTACATCATTTTGTTTAATATTTGTTAATTATTACCAAATAAATACAGTTAAATGTTAAACTTAAAAAAGCTGTCAGGAAGATTGTAAATGTAACATAAATGTTCTAGTAATTGACAAGGAACCAGTAAAAATAAAGAAATCATTTAGAATAAGGACATGAACCAGTTTTTTTATATTGGCAATACTATGACATAGACTGTACTCTAATTATTATTCTTTACTATAAGTTGTAAATTACAAAAATGCTGATGTGTACCAGTAATGGACATATGTGTCTATTATTGGGTGTTTTATAGAAATGTTCTTGCTAGAAAAGGAGATAAAAATGTGTATGGTTCTTCAGGCAATAATAAAGAAAGTTTAATTTTTCTGCATCAGGAAAGTTAGCACCTACTCTAGTTGTATTTAACTATGCAAGAATGTTGTCATTAGTTTCAGAAAATTTCTCCCGTGACTAGGCTTTTGGTCAGAGAGTGGGTGGATGTACTCAGGGACATTCTACAAATATATGAGATATGTTTTTCATCCTTTAATGACTAACAAAAATGTTAAAAAGTTTGTTATATTTTTTTAGTTTAACACAGGTCACATTTAACTTTGCACCTGTCTAAGTTCAGTGAAAAATGGGTTTTGCAGGGTGAGAGTTCAGAGGCAGAAAAACTTTTGCTTAATGAAGATATATCTGTATTTGGGCTAATAGTAAGCAAACTTACTGACATTAAATGAAGAATCTTTTAATCGCGTATCAACAATAAATGCCAATGATTCTCCAAGAGAAATCCGAACAATGCCTGTTTTGTCTTGTAATACTAATGATTACGAACCCAGGTTTTTTCACATAACAATTGTTTGTCAAACATTCACAATCTTGGTTGATAAGTCATCAGAATCTAGTAACTATCAAAATTAATCCCATTAAAAAAACAACAACACATTTTCTGATTTATTATACATTTGAATATAAAGGAATATACAAAGCTATTAAAAATTGATTTAAATAGGAAAAAGTAACTACACCAGTAAAAGTTTGTTTAGCCATGAAATGGATAAAACACTTTGTTTTACCCTGTGGTTTTTACTCTATGGTTTTCAACTACTTGTAACACACTTTGTTTGCTTTTTTCTTCTTTTGTGAGGGACAATGAAAAGTCTTGCATCAATTTTACATCTCTCTCAGCAACATCATTAACAACTCTAATATTCTTTAAAAAGTTTGCTGCTTTAAGTTCTCCTCCCAAATTTGCACAGGAGTTTTCAGCCACTCAATGTTTACACCAAGGGTTTCAAACAGAAGCCAAGAGTTTTCTCCAATTAATGATGGAATTTTTTTATTTTTTGTCACTACAGGAAAGGTTGTTGTACCTTTTTCCAGCTCACCACATAGGTAGAATTGGAGTTTCTTAACAATATTCTTTTTTTCATTGTCAGACAACATTTTTGAAAACAATCAGAAAATCTCCTTTTTTAAATACCAAAAATGATTTTTAAATATTCTTGAGGTGCTTTCTGATATTTCCTTGTTGATGATACTGAAATCCTGCAACTCATTGGATAGTGTCAAGTCATTAAAAAGAGCGTCAACTCCAAGAAGCCATGTTAACCAGTACTTGACATACACAAGACATATCTCTCAGCTTCGCAGAAGCTACCTTATTATAACCCATAGAATTTCTAAAGAGATACATTTTAGCAGTGTATATCACAAATGACATCCATCTTGCATGATGAAAGACCCCAGGTTTACGTCAATGTACATTTCTATCAGGAATTTCTCCAAGTAAAATTAACATTCATTCTGTGCATTCCTTGTAATCATCTCTTAGTTTGAAATTCTTATTCTTGATTTGCTCTTTGAAAACATAATTTGCATAATTTTGCTGTGGCTTCATATTTCTGACTTTAACATCTAAGCATTTGAAGTCATCCTTGTCCTTGTCACTTGCGCAGTTGCATTTAACAAAACTTATGTAAGTTTTTTGATAAGTTCAGTGCTAAAAAATCACCAAGCTGAAATGGTATTCACCAAACTTTATGCATTATGATGTGATATTATAAATAAATATTGATATAACATCTTAATGAAAACCATTAAGATGTTATCTCTTTATAATAATACTGGACTTAATAGTAGTAGTAGTAGTAGTGCGCTTTCGAGCCTGTTTGACATGATACTCTTGGCAACCATTGCATCCGAGGTAGTGACGAGAAAGAGTCTTACCTTTGCTTTATAAGAAAACGCGAGCAAACGTGAAACTCATATTGTACGTACATAAACTTCATGTTATTTAATGTTAAAACATGCTTAAACATATATCAAGTTCAACAGTTTGATTTTCACTTAGGAACTGCATTTCGTCAACCTTTGCTTAGTTTCTAATCTTTTGTGTTTTTAAAAACAATTTTTATATAATTTGAAATCTTAAAGACACTACGTGACAGCGTAGTAGAGTGGTTAGTGCGCTGGGCTTCTGACCAAGTCAGCCGTGGTTCAAGTCCTACCACCGGCGACCTTCTTTTTTATTTTTTTTGTGCATGTGTCATTATTGAGATACTCATGTTATTTTAGTTAAACTTTTCAAGTTTATTTACAACTAAATTGAGCAAGGAAAATTAGTAAAAAACATGTTTATATATAGAATATAAAATCTATATAACTTTTGATTTGCATTTTAAACAACAAAACCGCGTGCCAAGCTGATGAACTTGCCATGCGGCGACCATAACTTTTTTTAAAAATGGTAAGGGGGCTTAAAAAGTATATTTTTATTTAGAACATAATTAAAGATTTTAATTTTATATGTACACTAAATTAATTTATAAAATTTATTGTTTCTAAAAATAATTAAAAGTTAAACTATTTAATATTAGCATAATACCGATTTCAAATCTTTTGCATTTATATCCGTTAAAAACAATTTTTGTATAATTTTGAATCTTTATTTCTTAATGCATCAGCGTAGTCAAGTGGATAGCGCGCTGGGCTTCGGAACATAGCTGCCGTGGTTCGAGTCCTACTGTTGGCAACTACTGTTTTAATTTTTTTTTAGATTTTTTTAAATACAAATTCAAATACTTATAAAGTTTTATAGATATTGTATATAGACAACATATGTAAAGATATTAATCAAAAGTTTGATCCTCGCATTTTGACACAGAACCAACTTCGCTAACGAGAAAAAAAAAATCGTTCAAAAATTTCAAAATTTTGTTTTTTTGTTGCAAGAAGTGTCTCGCAAATGCCATTTATGTTAAAGTTAGTGTTTACGCAATCAATAAGTTTAATCTTCGTATCTAGGACATTAAAAGTTATCATTTAGATGTTTTCATTTGATTGAGATTTTCTTGCGTTATAAACCGGATAATAGTTCTTATGAACTGTAACCACGCGGATAAAGTGTGCATCAATATCCTAAAGACCCTTATATTACGGGTCATGACAGCTAGTATTAATAATTAAGGTAAACTTAATGTATTTAATTCATATATATAAAGATGTTATTATATTGATAATATAACACAACATTTTATTATATAAAGTAATATTGACATGGTTGTATAAAATAAGATATTATAGTATATTATAAATTATTTATAGTATAAAGTATATATTTGAAAAGATGCTATATTGTTATGATGCAGTTATGATTTTGGATATATATATATATATATATAATTATTGAGTTATTATATTATGAAAAAGCAACTATTTTTTTATAAATATAAATAAAACACTTTATATATTAACAAAAAAACAACTATATCTTTATAAATATTATATTTCACAGTTTTTTGTTAAATGGTACATGTCTCATTACGTTTAACGAGTATAAACATTTAGTTGTTTTAATAGCTTTATTTAGTTTTAGTTTAAATGGAAATTTTGTTAATATTGTCAAGATCAAATCTGGTGTTTGGCTCAATATGTTGCTTTAAACAATTACTCTGATGTAGAATGTGTTCAAAAATTTCATTTATATAAAAATAAATAGAGGTATTGTCAACACGTTAACAATGATTTGTCATCAATCACGTTGAGAAGCAACTCAATTTTTTCAGAAGCAAAAATGCTAATATCAATGAAGCTTTTATCAAAGTAACTGAGAGATTTCAAATAGTAATTGGTAAAAATTACTCTTTGATAACTTTGAAAAAATTTGAAAATTAACAGTCAATTCAAAAAAAATTTGCATCAAAAATAATCTTTTGATCATTTATTGTTGAGTTTTGTTGTTAATTGACTGTTACGAATGAAGTTTGAAAGAGTTGATTTATCAAATTTCAGAGATCAAAAAGTATCCTGATTAAAGATTTTTATTTTTTCTAATTCTGAATTAAAAAAAAATTGGAATATAATCCTAATGCAGTTTTTCTTTTTGTTTATTAAAAGT